GAGCTAAAATTGGAAAGCTATTAACAGATCTGTTGGGGTTCATATTTTGAATGATCAGGAATAAGAAATCGATTGAATTTCACTGTTGGAGATGTCGATTTTGCCAAAAAGCGATGCTATACAGATCCGGGAGGTTTGGGCCGATAATTTGGATCAAGAATTTGCTTTGATTCGTGAAATTGTCGATGATTACCCTTACATTGCTATGGATACGGAATTCCCTGGTATTGTGCTTCGACCTGTGGGTAATTTCAAGAACTCGAATGATTATCATTTCCAGACATTGAAAGACAATGTGGATATGTTGAATCTGATCCAATTGGGGCTTACCTTTTCGGATGATAAGGGGAATTTGCCCACCTGTGGGACTGATAAGTGCTGCGTATGGCAATTCAATTTCTGTGAATTCAATCCCAACGAGGATGTGTTTGCAAATGATTCGATTGAGTTATTGCGCCAGTGCGGCATTGATTTTGTGAAGAATAATGAGAAGGGTATCAATGCTAAGCACTTTGGAGAGCTTCTAATGTCTTCAGGAATTGTTTTGAATGATGATGTGTATTGGGTGACTTTCCATAGCGGTTACGATTTTGGGTATATGCTCAAGTTGTTAACTTGTAAGAACTTGCCTGATACGCAGGAGGGTTTCTTTAAGTCGATCAATCTGTATTTTCCGGTGCTTTATGATATAAAGCATTTGATGAGGTTCTGTAACAGCCTGCACGGCGGGTTGAACAAACTAGCCGAGTTGTTGGAGGTGGAGAGAGTTGGAATTAGCCATCAGGCGGGTTCAGATAGCTTGCTCACTGCATGTACCTTCAAGAAGTTGAAGGAGAACTTCTTTAGCTCTTCACTAGAGAAGTATTCTGGTGTGTTGTATGGTCTAGGTGTTGAAAATTGACAGGATATTTCTCGAGGATAGGTAAAAAATGAAATAAAAAAAGTATAAGAAATGTGAATGACTAGGTGTTTATTGAACTTTATTTGTGTGTGCATGATGATTATGATGCCACACTTATTTGTACTCTATTTAAAGTTAAAAAAGTTGTTTATCGATGGATCTTATTGTGTTGGTTTTTCTAAATATCTGTCTGTACTTTCCTCTTCACATTGGGTAAATTATGCTGCTTAACAATTCTGTGGTTCGATTCTTACGGTAACTATTAACAGTTGTGGCAATGCTTGGCTGGATTGAGCTTCGCTGGTGGATATAAGGCAGACTGGGGTTTCATTCTTTGTTGAAACTCGAAGATATCACTCAGCTGGGGCATTGGCATAATCAGCAGGAAGCAGGCCAAGTAGACTCATTGACAAGGCAGCAACAGAAGGATAGCTAGAAGGAAAATAGTTAGGATTTGGTTATTGTACAGCTTGTATTCTTCCTGTTTACCAGCTGCATTTTTTTGTGTAAATTAGTTAGAGATAGATTCTTTCATATATATGTAAATATATCATTGCAAGAAATGGAGGAATCCAATTCTGAGGATATGAATCCTCCTCCAAACACCAATCCAAATCACAGTCAAAATCAACAGCTGGCTCGTGGAAGCAACTCAGGAATTCTTTCTCATGACAACTCATCCCAGCAGTCCCTACTATGTTGGCAGATATGATGGAAGTGCTGTCATGCTGGTTCCCCACATTTTGGATTCTAGCAACTACTACACCTGGGCTCGTTCGATGAGAAGGGCACTAAGGACAAAAAGTCAGCTTGGATTCATAAATGGCACCCTGTGTGAGCCAAAGGATCCGAATGATCCATTAATGGAGCATTGGCTAAGATGTAATGACATCGTTATAACATTGATGCAAAATGTTGTGGCAATTGATATCAAGAGTAGCACTATTTATGTTGGGATAGCCCATCTCCTCTGGCTTGATAATGCGCAATGTTTCTCCCAACAAAATGATCCACGCATTTTTTAAGTAAAGGACATCACAATCTTGATGCAAAACCAAGACTCAGTAAACTCAAAATTCTTCTGGAAGAATTGCTAAATTACGAGAGCAATTCCAACTGTACATGTGGAGGCTTAAAGATTGTGCTTCAAAGTCAGCCAAGCGATTGGGGGATTAAATGAGTCATACAAAGAAACCAAGGCCCAGATTTTGTTGATTTAGCCATTTCCTAGCACGAGTGAATTGTATTCCTTAATCCAACAAGAAGAGAAAAGGCAGGCAATATCCAACCCAAGTCTTGTAAGTTCTAACTCCATAGCTTTTTTGAGCAAAAAGAACTTTAGAGAGGGAGGCACCACCCAAACTTTTCACCACAAGAAACGGGACAGATATTACTGTACCTATTACAAAATTTCAGCCCATTCTCATGAACGTTGTTTTAAAGCAAACCCAAAAGACCAGTTTGCTCTTACTGTCAAATGCTAGGACATAGAGCAGCCAAATGCTTCAAACTTCATGGATTTCGACCAAGGCACAAGTTCAGTAATGAGGGAAAATCTGTTGCCAACATGGTTTCTGCAAGTATAACTCCTTATCAGGAGATGGTGAAGGACAAAGGCCAAGTATCTTTAAGCCACGAGCAGTACTCTCAGTTGATGGCACTCCTCAAACTAACAAAAAACTCTCAGCCTTTCACCTCTTCATCAAACAACATCCAAGCCCTTGTTATTCCTTCCTCATCTGATGAATGCGCCTATAAAATGTTTGGTATATCTTTATGTCTAACTGCATTCCATCACAAGCAGGCAAATGTTTACCAAATGGAGAAAATGTTCCATTCACACATGTAGAAACTGTCAGAACTTAAGAATCTATCACCCTTCGTAATATNTCCTCTAGCTTATTGGACGGTCAACTAACCGTTTTTTGTTCAGAAGTCAGAACGTTTAATTTTCAGACTGTTGGATAAACCTGCCATACTGGATGTCCTCTAGGATTACCAGGCGCGCCCCCTAGGCCAAAGTTACAGGATGCATCCCCTAGAGTTACAGGACGCGTCCTCTAGACCAGTGTGCATTTCGCAGTTAGAATTTTTCTTCTTTTAATGTTTTAAAAGGGTGTAATCTCATGAAGGATGTTTCTAATTTTTTTTTTCAAGATTTTTGACGTTTCTTAAAGTGTATAATTAGGTTCATGCCTTAAAAATTTATTTATGCAAAAAATCGTATTTGTTATGCGAAGAAATTTTCTTGAGTGTCAAATAACGTATTTGCCAAATACTAAAGTATTTTACCTTTACATTTGAAATTAAGGTGTCTAAATCTAATTTCTTCATAGTTTGACTTGATGAAGTGCTTGTTGACTTGTTGTGTAGCTCGACTTCTACTTTCTTCAATTTTTGTGAAAGCTCCAAGAGCAACCTTTTGTCTTTGATTTACTACGTTTGTCATAACTTCTATAATCACTCAAATACAGTTGTTAGTAATAAACATAATTTGTTTGTTATAATCAAGATGAGAAGTCAACCGTAGGTCAACAATTTCCCCCTTTTTGATTTTGACAAACAAGAGATGATGGAGATTTAATAAGTGAGGAAACAAACAAGAGATGATAAAAAATTGCTAAGTAAAGAAATAGTTCCCCCTATCTTTTATGCATGTATTCTCCCTTAAGCATTCCTATCATACATTATATCATCTCATATAATTTCCCCCATTTGGCAAAATAAAAAATGACAAATAAAAGAAGAAACATAAGTGCATAATTTCATAATCAAAACGCCAAAAGATAGAGTCATAATGAGTTCGGGACTACAGAAATATGCATAAGGTAAATGATAAAACTAAAAGCTAAGGCTCCGGAGGAGGAAAATGTGTGTAAAAGTGAGCATAGAATGTATTCTGCTGAGCTTGCATCTCTGCCTGCTGTGCAAGAATAATATCCTGCTGAGCCTGTATCGCGGCCTGCTGTGATTGAACATGATGAAGAAGACCGCTAAGCCTATTAACTGAAGACGCGAGTGAGTGAAGTCGCCCATTGAGAAGATTGTATTGATCCTCGGTAAAGGTGAATCCACGTGAAGAAGATGATGGACCACCGGATGTCAGAGGGTGAGGAGGATGTGTAGGTAATGGATTGTCGTCGTTTTCCTCTTCCTCCTCGAATGCAAGTGTCAAATGTCCCGAGGTGGGTTCGAAGTCTTTAGTGTAAGCCACCCATTGTCCTTGAGTTTTATAGATTTTCATATGTTTGAGAGTTTGAATATTGATAGTGTCGGGGGTCGAGGTTTTAGGATTTCCTCATTGTCTAAAGGAACATTGAAATGCTTGAAAATTTTTGTTAATAACATACCGTAAGGTAAAGCTTTGGTAATACGAGAGGAGTGAACAAGTTTCATAAGACCCATTGCAATGGTTGGAAAATCTAGTTTGCGGCCAACAACAGAAGAATCAAGAATGAATAAGTCGAAATAATTAACCACATCCCGATGCCCCTTCCTAGGTAAAATGACATTGGCTGTGATATTTTGAAAAACCTTGCACGGAAGAGACAAGTGGTGTGTGCTAATCTTTGTGATGTGTTCAAAATCCTTTCCCGTCACATGACGGCATGCATCACTTGGGTCATAACCTGCTACTGTCGGGGAGTTTTGTGCACAAAAAACTTGAGTGTCACATGGTGCAAGTTCAAGAATATCTTGAATTAAAGTTTTTGTGATAGTGATCCGTACATTCTTAATGAAACATGAAAAGCTATCCGTACGGGAAGTGACAACCATATTTTTATAAAAATCATGCACAAGTCGTGGGTATGCATTTTCTTGTATAGTACAAACCGACACCCAACCCATAGTTTCAAAATATTCTTCTAAATGAAAAGCCGGTGCCTCAATAGTAAATTCATAAAAATCAACATTTTTACCTAGAAGGTTAGGGAATTTTTCGAAATGGCTTGTGTGCCCCTCGAGGTCCGACTCCATTTCTTTCTCTGATGAACTTGGTGAAGATTGTCGAACCATCTGTTTCATCCTATTCCCAGATCGTGTTGATCTTGACATAGTGTGGAAGTTGAAGATTTTTGTTAAATTTGAAGGGTTTTGAAGAATAGAAGATGTAGAAATCTTTGATTAGGGAATGGAATGTTGTGTGAAATGTTGATGAAATAGGGATAGGCGACCAAGTTTAAGATGGTGGAAGGGAAAAAGAAGGAGGAAAAATGAAGAAGGGAGGTGCTGTTCACGATTTTAAAATCTGTAATTTTTGTGTACCGAACGTCCAGTAAAAGTACCGGACTCGTCCTCTAAAGTAGAATTTTTACTATCAAACAAGATTCGTTACAGGACTCGCCCATTAGGTCCGTCTGCTACCCTTCTTCTTTATTTATTTATAAATATAGTCACATAGTAACTTAAATTAATTATGCATTTCAAATTCGTCGATAAGACCTAAACCTCTACGAATGTGTGTGAAACGGTCGAGAGCAAGAGGTTTAGTAAATATATCGGCCAATTGATTTTCCGAATTGACAAACTCTAATGCAATATCACCTTTTTGAGTATGATCTCTAAGAAAGTGATGTCTAATTTCAATGTGCTTCGTTCGTGAGTGTAATATAGGATTTTTAGACAAATTTATAGCGCTAGTGTTATCATACATAATAGGAACATGATCAAATGACTAGTGATAATCCTTAAGTGTTTGTTTCATCCATAACACTTGTGTACAATAACTAGCGGCTAAAATATATTCGACTTCGGCAGTAGATAAGGCAACGGAATTTTATTTCTTACTAAACCATGAAACTAGTAAAAAGCCTAGAAAATGACAAGTTCCGCTAGTGCTCTTGCGATCAATTGTGCAATTGGCCCAATCGACATCCGAATAGTTAAGCAAGTCGATGTGAGTTCCTTTTGGATACCAAAGGCCTAAAGTTCTAGTACCACTAAGATATCTAAAAATTCTTTTAACGGCTTTAAGATGGGATTTTTTAGGATTAGATTGAAATCGAGCACATAGACAAACACTAAACATAATATCGGGTCTACTAGCGGTTAAATAAAGAAGGGATCCGATCATACCTCGATATTTAGTCACATCAATAGGAGTACCTTGGTCATCTTTCTCGAGCTTAATTGTTGAACTCATGGGAGTGTTCATTGGTTTTAGCCCATCCACGTCGAACATTTTGCAAATACTTACTTTGATTTAT